GTTAATCTTGATCCAATAGGAAAATGGACAAAGATCGGTTTGGTAGTATATTCCTCACAAGTACCTATGGGTGCAACACCAGAATATCTAGCTGGACATTATATGATACAAGGCGCTTCTAGCTTCTTGCCTGTAATGGCGTTAGATCCGAAAGAAAATGAAAGAATTCTTGACATGTGTGCTGCACCAGGCGGAAAAGCCTCGCACATTGCTGCTATTATGAAAAATACTGGAACTCTATTCGCTAACGATTTAAATAAAGAACGATTGAAAGCTGTTATTGGCAATTTCCATAGACTTGGTATTGTTAATTGTGTAATCTGTAGTTACGACGGGCGAAAGTTCCCTACGGTAAAGAAAATTTTCTTTTATTCTTTATAGCTCACAGTAAAGCTTTCAAGATTTATGAATTTGATAATTTCATTTTCAGATTATAAAAGGCTTCGACAGAGTCTTATTGGATGCTCCGTGTACAGGTACAGGAGTAGTCGCAAAAGATCCTAGTGTAAAAGCGAATAAGGCAGAAGTAGACATTCAACGCTGTTGCACATTACAAAGAGAGCTGTTATTAGCTGCGATTGATTGTGTGAACGCGCGTTCGGAATCAGGTGGTATTATTGTTTATTCGACTTGCTCAATTTTACCAGAGGAGAACGAATGGATAATCGATTACGCTCTTAAGAAGCGCGATGTTAAGTTATTACCTACTGATTTGGAATTTGGAACTGATGGTTTCACGAGTTACAGACAATATCGATTTCATCCCTCACTGAAATTAACTAAACGGTTTTACCCGCATGTACACAATATGGATGGTTTCTTTGTAGCAAAATTAAAAAAATTCTCCAACAATATTCTTAATCAAAAAAATGTAAAGGAAGAAATGTCTGATTAAAATTTTCTTGATTTGTTCAACAATTTTTTTATAATCGAATTATTACATACAATATCATACTATTATTTTGTCTTATTTACATATACAAATCCTTTTCAATTTTTCAGTACTAATATAAAATATACATGTATATATAAAAAGAGAGAAAGAGAGATAATTCACATTTTATATCACATGTGTATAAATATACAGCTTCCTACAATTATTTCACATAATAGATATTACCTGTTGATAGTTAGCGAGGATTGTTATGAAAGATTAATGATAAAAATAAGGAATATTTATAATTTCATATATTTCCATTTTTCCTTGCATATTCATCAATGGAAAAAAATACTTTTTAATTGTTTCTCGCAGAGTCTCTTTACTTCATCTGTAATAAATGGAAAGATTAAGAGATTATTAAACAATAATATTAAACAATAAATCATAAATTCAATTGCATAGAATGTTATACCTACCATCAATTTCTATAATACTCGCACTTTTCTGTTGTATAACAACAAAAAATTCTCTCAGATTCGATAACTTTCCAATAACCCAATAATCACTTATAGTCTTTATAATTACTTCTCCAGCTTCCTTCAATCTATGAGACAAGTAATTAACATGTAATTTTCATTAATGCGCAAGTTTTATGAATGTTGAGAAATGTATGTACCTGTTTCTATCATTGTATATATCAGTAATAATCCTCAATACCTCAGGTGTTGTAAGTACGTTAGAGCAACGTCTATTATCTAAATGTATTGTACTCTTGTATGCTAGATTTAACTTATTAAAATACAGATACTTGGTACACGATTCCGGTGTAATTATTACATGTTTTGAGCACTGCTCAGCTACAGAGCTAACTAATGTGGTTAATTGTGGTCCCAGAAAACCGTCTAAGCTTTTAAAGAAATCAATTAATAAACTAGTTTTCTCTGAAAATTAAAAAATACAAATATTTTTATTTTTGTATTAATAAATGTAACTAATAGTTTTAACAATTTCACTTACTATCGACGAAGAGACATATTGTAGCGCTTAGTGCTCGATACACTACTAGATACAATGATACCGGTTTAGTAGAATAGTTGATAAAAACTTTTGGTGATTTTCCAATTAAACTGGGCTCATTAACGCTAGCAGGTCCGGTAACAAATCTAAACAAAAACTTTTAATAATATTTTGGTCACAACTTACATTTAAATTGAAGCAAAGTATTTATTCGTTCTTACTTTCCATAATGTGAAGAAGTGAATGGTGAGGGAGAATTTCTAGGTATTGAGCCTCCATGTAATTCTTTTTCAAGATGAGCTGGTAAAAGAGTACTTACTAAATAATTATAAACTACTTGCATGTCTTCAGGTTCCAAGCCACTCCTAAAAAAATTACGAGAGAAATCTTAGATTAAATATTCAATATATATCATATGATATACGCATATATCATAATAGAGAAATAACGAAAGCAAACATACCAAACAACTTGATCATTATAGAGAAATGCTGTGTATTTTATCTGTGTAAACATAGCTTCTACAAGATTCATAAAACATTGCACTTTGAGAAATGTAATCTTGTCAAGAGGTAAGAATTGTAAACCTTGGAAAACATCTAATATATCACTATTATTCAGTTTTAATGAAAGCAGATACTGAAATAAGTTGAAAGTGAAACAGTAAAGACATATATTCATGTCGAGCTTATATTTGATTGAAAAAAATGTAACTTTGCTTACTCGTGAATAAAAATGTTCTAGTTTAAGTTTTAACAACATTACAGAACCACATTCAGGATCATTAATGATAGTTTCAAAAGAACCCATGAATAATCTAAACATCATGTATGTCTGCTTTAATATAGCTTGACAAACATTGCTGGATACTTCATCATTCTGATATTTATTACCGTCTCTTTCTTTGTAGATGTATGGTATACCAACAATCTGTAAAATGTTAATAAAATTGCTTTGTATCTCATACTAGTTTAAAAATGATAAATGTTTATTTATCATTTATTATATCTTTTAAAATACATACCATTACCATCCAAAAATTAGGTTCTGGTTGATAATATATCTGACGTGTTTTATGTGTATGGCAATAGTCACATGGCTGTCCAGGACTGAAAGACCTGTAATACATTTTCTTTCATAACAATATTCTTTATTCTTTTACGGATATACACAATTATGATACATACTCTGTAAACTTAATTATCGCTTCGCTAAGCCCTATGTTCTTGATTTGAACATCTATATCCTTTTCTGGATAATAATACAATATTTTCTTTTCTTCCTGATAAAAAAAAACATATGTTCACATCACATGCAACTTATTTAATCAAAAAGGATTACTTTTTGACACATCTCTGCATACTTGCCTCTCCTTCCTTCTTCGCATAAGTGCCATTAAAAATATAAAAATGCTCCAAGGTGATCTCAGACTTAGAAGTCATTTTATGAATTTGAATAAGTATTCAAGTATTGTAAACACTATAAAAATTTGGCTCATTGAGACATATCAACTGATAGCTGTTGAAGAGGGATCTTGACAAGAGGATTATTATTAATCCCCACCTTCACACTTGATCTTGGAGACCTCGCGTGGTGAAAGCACGAAGTTTCATATTCAGCTGTCAGTACTTGGAGTAGTATCATATTTACGTGTGTATGTGAGACGCGTACGTGTGTGTATGTGTAGACCTTCTAGTACGATTGAAACATAAATCGTATTTAATAATGTCCTTAACAAAGTAAGAGTTATTTTCATACACAAATTTATATGTTTAGTAAAATCATTTCATTACTATTAATGACAAATTTTAAATAGTATAAAAATAGACGCTTTCTTTGTAATTGACTTGAAAATAGATATCTTAACCTCTAAACATAGAATCAGAACTTACAAATTATCTGGTTATAATAATAGTTGTTTCATTTCTTTCTACAATCTAGCTTATTACCTGCCCCCACCCAAGTGGTGTGGGACAGGGAAGACGAGGCTCGCGAACAAAAATTACGCCAAAGACCGGTTTCAGCGCTGGTCAAAGCTGTTGTTACAGCACCACCTTATGGACAGCGACGAGGATGGGTCCCACGCAATCCAGAAGTGAGTAATAATTGCTGTAACTTGATTTGTACAAACAAATATTCTTTATCAGCATAATTCGATTATTTTTGCATTTTATAAAATTATGAGTGATTATGATAACTCTTATAATTCTCTAAAGTTTTTACATATATATTTTTGTATATTACATGTAGGACTTTGGAGATGGAGGAGCTTTCCCCGAGATTCACGTTGCTCAGTATCCTCTTGGAATGGGGATGAAGGGCAAAGAATCTACAAGTAATGCCTTGGCGATACAACTTGATGCTCAGGGGAAAGTAAAATATGATCTTATAGCAAGACAGGGTCATAGCAAGGATAAAGTAAGTTTTGATCTTGCTTTAAATGTATATTCTGAAATTATAAACTAGCATCTCTAATCTACTAATTTTTTTTTATAGATTGTCTATAGCAAGTTGAGTGATTTGCTACCATCAGAAATTACAAATGAGGAAGATCCCACCTTGCAACGACCTCTTGAAGACGAAATTGATGAACTCACAGATAAGACGAAAAAAGCGTTAGAAAAGATAACGAGATCAAAGATTGCAGCGGCCATGCCCGTGAGATGTGCAGAGAAACAAGCTCCGGCTCAGTATATACGTTATACACCATCGCAGCAAGGACAGTCATTTAATTCAGGTGCAAAGCAGAGGGTGATCAGAATGGTGGAGGCACAAGTAGATCCTTTGGAACCACCAAAATTCAAGTATGTACAGTATAAAATAAGACAATTGTGAAATTGAATAAAGAACAACTATAATTACCGGATGTTTAATGTAAAGATTTTCGATTGCAGGATTAATAAAAAGATTCCGCGAGGACCTCCATCTCCTCCAGCACCGGTTATGCATTCCCCCACGAGAAAAGTGACGGTGAAGGAACAGAAAGAATGGAAAATTCCACCGTGCATAAGTAACTGGAAAAACGCAAAGGTGTTTAGAAATATTTTATGCCTTTAACATTTATCTTGCGTTTATCTTGTCATAAAAGATAATATTGAAATATAATTTGATATACTCGATTCTATCTACAATTCTAGGAAACAAAATTATGTTTCATTTCAGGGTTACACAATCCCATTAGACAAACGTCTTGCTGCAGACGGTCGGGGCTTACAACAAGTTCACATCAATGAGAACTTTGCCAAGTTAGCAGAAGCTCTTTACATCGCTGACAGAAAAGCTCGTCAAGCTGTCGAAATGCGAGCGCAATTAGAAAAGAAATTGGCTCAGAAGGAGAAAGAGAAAAAGGAAGATCATTTGAGGCAACTCGCGCAAAAAGCTCGAGAAGAGCGCGCCGGCTTGAAATCTGCCGCAACATTAGGTTTGTATAATTGTTAGTTCACACACAAAATAAATAATAATAAAAAAATATTCCTAAAAATTGAATCAAGACAAAAATGATGAAGATAATATTTAACTGATAAAGAGATGCTTTCTTTTTCTCGACAGATAAATCTGAAGAATCACGTGAGAGAGATCAACTCAGACAAGAACGACACAAAGATCGCGCTCGCGAACGTAATTTGGCTCGTGCTGCTCCCGATAAACGCTCTCGTTTGCAACGCGAACGCGAGCGCGACATTAGCGAGCAAATCGCTCTTGGTTTACCTGCAAAAAGCATTCCTAGTACGGGAGAAGCGCAGTTCGATCAACGTCTCTTTAATACCAGCAAAGGGATGGACAGCGGTTACGGACATGATGATGAGTACAATGTTTATGACAAGCCGTGGAAAGATGGCAATTCTATTGCTTCGCACATTTATCGTCCTAGCAAGAATATTGATAAAGACACGTATGGTGATGATTTGGAGAAATTGGTTAAAACAAACAGGTGAAAATATTTATATTTTGTCTGCAATACATAAGTTTTAATTTATATAATTATGAGTGATCTACAAATTGTCTATAAATTTCAAGCTATCGGTGCTTGTTTTTTATTGTAGATTCGTTCCTGATAAGGAATTTAGTGGAGTCGATAGATCAGTTACGCGATCGGGACCAGTACAATTTGAGAAAGATGAAGAAGATCCTTTCGGTCTGGATCAGTTCTTGAAACAAGCTAAACGCGCCAGTAGTTCAACTACGGCAACAACAAAGCGCAAAGACGAACGGGAACAACGTAGAGACGACCGTGACAAACGTAGAAAGCATTAAGTATGTTTAATATGCTTTCATATATCAGGCGAGATATTCTTAAAAGTTTATTCTACGTTATGACAAAAATAAAACATAAGACATGCAACTTATTTTTATATACATAAATAAAAAGAGAGAGACATGATACTTTTTAAATTAATTAATTGTTAATTATTGTGAAGCTACTGTACACTTTTGCTTTCGAGTATGGACGAAAATGATAGCAACACAATGTTTCGCTTATATTAGAATTATAGATCTCATTTTATAGAATATTCTTATTTTCAATTTATATAAATCTAGAAAAAATTTTTGTATATTACATAAATCATAATTAATGAAACTTGCTGATAGTGCTATCATTGTATACTTCTTAATAAAGCAAAATTTCCGTATGAAAAATATGGTAGTATAATGTGCATGAAAAATTTGAGCCTCCACAACTTTCCATTCTATTTTTATTACTTGCTTCAAGAAAAAGCAAACGCGATTAGCATTTTAATAAGGAAACTTCAACGAATTTAAGATGAACTATATAGATTGCTTTATAAGCAAAAATTATTGCTTTCTTTATTTTAATTTATTTTGTATTTTATCACAGAATAATACAGTTATACATTCTATACTTTTAATCGCCTTTATTTAATAAATAACTATTTATTCTCGTTGTAGTGTTGAATAAACTTTTAAGATGTCGAATGAACTGTTACATAATAAACATAATTATATAGAAATACAAAATATATAACTAGGAAGAAATCTTCTAATTTTTATTAGAGGAACCTAAACCTATTCTCAAATCGTAACATGAGAATTAAATGGAAAAATTAAAATTTACAATTCAAAAAATTACTGAATTTATAATATTTGAAGGGATTGATTCGAATATATTTCTTTGTCAATTTTTAAACGGAGTAAATTCTTTCGAGTACATTTTAATTGACTCAACTTTTACGCGATGTAAAATCCTCATACAACAAACATTAAATGAATACCGCAACATCAAGAAGCATTACACTATTTTGATCGATTAGTAATCTTTATGCTCTCGTGCCAAATTTGACATTGGTCAAATCCGCGACACGAGCCCGTCTTCAAAATTGAATAAAAAGTAAACTGAAGGCTTCCCGCAAGCTGACATGCGTGGTAGTATGTAAAAGCTAGAAACAAGCAACAAATCTACCGCATTTCCATCAGCCTTGGAATGTCTATCAGAGGCTGTTGGATGTTCATCGATTTGAGGAATTTTCACGGTTTGGCTATTTGCCAATCAGTAGCACAAGCACGCAGAGATGCTCGTTTCAAGCTGTTAACTTACCATATTCGAATGCCGCCACTTGAAACGCCGTTTGACTGCGAGATGGACACATCGATTGGAGAAATGTGCGGCTGACCAAAACTGGCTTCATCTACTGCGTCGCCCGCATTGAACAGATATTGACAGCAAATCATAAAAATATTTTAAAGATGAAATGTCTGTTATTTTTACGAAAATCGAAATCCAGTTTATTTTATTGTTAAAAATTTTTGTACATTAAATTGAGTTCAACGAATTTTCTCATAAAAAAAGATTCTTCTGTCTCTGTCATTTCTTTAGTTTCCTATATAGGAACCCAAGCAGAACAAGTTAAGGTAATGTTAAAATATATCATAAATAATTTAAAAATAACTTTTAGTGATCATTTTGGAATCATTTTAATATCATTCTAATGTCATAATTTTGCTTGGAGATGAATTAACAATAATGTTTACTATATACAAAAATCTTTAACGATGACATAAGCCAGATATCTTACTTTTCCATAAAAATATGTAATGCTCCGTGTATTTTTTATTATTATATACGATTATTCGTTATTCCAGTCACTCGTGTCGACTTGATGCGGGCGATGCAGTAGATACAGCCATATCTCGAGTCAACTACGTATCTCTTTAGCCGAGATACATCTAGATGGACCGATGGACATAGCCAGATGGCAATTAAAATAGTTCGCAGCGATATCATTCGAATATAATAATTAAAAAACTCTATATGGAGATGAAAATATTTCTTCAAATAGACGCAAATATAACTATCTTTAATAAAAATAGTAATTTAAAAAATGGAACTTTATATCTAGCTTTATATGCAACTTTGTTAGTTTGTGTACATTATTCCATAAAGGGATCGGATTTCTCTGTATTTCTGTTTATTTTTACAAGAATTTTTTAATGACAATTCGACATAGTAGGTCTTCGGTATGAAAGAGATGAGCTTCCGGCGCGATCGAGTAAACGTATCGGTATTTTTAGTAACCATTTCCGACA